GGGAGCGCCCGAACAATGGCGGCGCCGCGGCCGCCGCGCTGAGGGCCCTGCAGGCGGCGCGGCAGCGAAGGCGGGCGAGGGAAGCGGGCGGAGCGGAGGGGCCGCGCCCGCCGGCCGCGCGTACCTGGTTGAACTCCTCGCCCACATCGGCGTAGATGTCGATGTGGTCCACGCCGTCCGCCATGGTCCCGCCCGGGGCCGCCGCCTGCCGCGCCCGGCTCCCGAGCCGCCGCCGGGAGGGGAGGGAGCGGGAGGCAGAGCGGGGCGTCACTTCCGCGGCGGCGCGGCCGGGCTTCCGCCGGCGCCGGGGCTGCGGGGGCCGGGCCGCCCCTCCCGCCCCGCCCCAGGCCGCCAGCGGCTCCTTGCCCGCTGGGTCTGGCCTGCTGTGTCCTAGGGGGCTCCGCTGCCCTCGGGGACCCGGCTGATGGCAGCGCTGCTGGGCACCAGGCCATGTTGCACAGTGCCTGAGCTCCCAGGAACGCTGCTCCAGCAGAGAGAACGCGCGTTTGCTGCTCCACAGCCGAGGGCTGTGATGAACGTCTGGAAAATGAAGCGCAGTCCTGCGTCTTCACGCCAGGGATGTGGAGGCTGGGCTCCGGGGTGCAGTAAAACGTGCGGAGAGGACACAAGCACACGGTGCTGGGTTTAGCCAGACTCTAATACTGTGCTACTGCAGAGCTCGCTTTTTTACATCACGAAGTGAAGATAATTAGTGTCAAATCTAGAGTTGTTCTTTTCTTTCTGTGTTAGGTTTTTTGTTTGTTTGGGTTTTTTTGGTTATGCATTCAGAACAGGTAAGGTTGCAAAGAGAACTTCAAATTAATTTTGATGAATGTGCCTATTACCTAGACCCATGTTTAAGCTCCAGACGATTTTGAAAAGCAGCATCTCATGGTACATAAAACTCATTGCACATAATGCTCTACATAATGGATTATGTTCCACTTTGTACATGATGTTGCACATCCAAAACTAAAACTTTTTTTTTTTTACTTTATCACAAATTGACAATAAGAAGATTGTGTTTTTCAAACTGAATAAAAATAATGTAAAAAATCACTGCAATGAATAAAAATGCTAACTGTTATTTTTAGCTTGATGAAAATTTTTTTCATGACTGGGAGTACTTCACAGTTCCTGGGTCAGCATCCAAACTGTCCTGACTTCATGTTGCGTCCAGGACTTGTGTGCAGACCATCCCTGTCTATCTTGCTATGCCTACATTGAAGTCTCCATTAAAAAGAAATACGACCATACCAGAAAACGGCTAAAAAATCAGAGATCCCAAACAAGGGTTGTGTTGTGGAGTATACCTGCTGACGATCTAGATATATTTCAGGTATGGAGACACTTGGGTTATTCCTGGGGCTCTTACCCAGCTTGTGACACATTAAATTTACTAGCTGCAGATCTCTTGTATCATTCCTGCTGTTAATTCTGGAAGACAGAAACACTGTAATTGAGGGTCTTTTTCAACTCTATTGGAGTCTTCTAGTTAGAGGAACCAGCACATTGTGAACCCTTTGGAAAAGTTCAGAGTATCATCTAAAAAAAAAAAACAAACAACAAAACATTTTAGAGATGATAGTTAGGAACAAACAAATAAAAAGTCTTAGTTTAACTTTTAGTGTTGACTGCAATTATGATTTACAGTACTATATTTGATCACAGGTTAAAAGTACATTTTGAAATCTATGATGTGCAAGTCATTGGTGAATGAAATGATAGATTGGTTTTGCAAGGAAGATTCACTTTTCCTCTGGATTTCCCACAGTCCATAGAGGTACTGTTCAACTATTGAGATCTAATTGGGTTCGCATATTTGCTGAATGACTAACTGATTTAGTGACTAGTCTTCTACAGAACAAAATGAAGCATTGTGAAGTTAACACTTCTGGCCATGCTAAATAAAGTCACTGAAATCAAGACAACCCTTGCTATCCTAATGATCAGATAAACATTCACAGGAGATAATAAGTTGTGTGCAGTTGAATATTTTATGTGTGTCTGAATATTATGCATAGCTAGTTACGATGCTTAAAAGGGCAAGGAAATGAAATATGAATGAAAAAGTCAGTATCATCACCTTAGAAACCACTTCAGCGATCACAGCTAGCATGTGAAGGATCCCACCCGCGGCCTTTGAAGAGGCAGGAAAAGACATCAGCCTCTGATTTGCTCTTCAAGATAATGAAGGGTGATCAATGAAGCCTTGAACCCCTCCATGCTATGTTTCATGTTCAGGGGGCTTTTCCACTTTGGAGCCTTTCTAAATGCTTTGACTTGCTAGATTTATTGTCCACAGTCATTTATAGAATAGACTATGATCATTTTTAGTCTTGTATTCATATTATTAAGCAAATTATGTAAACAATGGAGGAGACAATATTATGCAAGCTGTTCTATTTCTTTTCTGTTGTGTTTTCATTCTTTTCATGAGTAGGCTTACTAAATATGTCTTTGTCTTTCTTGTGATCATCAATAGCTTCTTTGCGAACTATTGTGCCTCCATGGAGCAACTTCAGAGTTGATCTACTACAGTGAAAATGTTAATGCTTTATGTTTTGTACACATCAAAACTATTTAGACCATATGCTGCCTACCTTCAACCAGTAAAATTCTGAAGGCTGAGGTGAAGCAGAGACTGAAATAGAAATGTGATCATGGGATAAAAAGTTGTCAGCAGTACAACTTGGTCTGGTAGAAGAGTCCTCATGAGTTTTGTTGGGCAAAAGTCACTGGTCCTGAAGTAATTACACACCTTCCAAACCCATAGCCCATCATGGGAACAAATGGCAGCAGATGAACTGGTGCCTTCCATCAGTTTTTCCTTCACACTCTGAGATATTCTTTCATTTGACAACAACTGGAGCTCCCTTGATACCAAAAACAGGGGGCAAAAGAGACGGTAGAAGCTCTACATAAAAAATAGCCTGTAAGTTAGGTCCCTGTTTCTGATGGGTCCACAAGAGTCTATTTATTTGTATATTATTCCTTTGGTCTCTTGAGCTGTTAATGACATAAATTCAAATATAATCCTTCTTTTGAACATAAAAGCAGCAGCTGGTGCTCTGAGGACCTTGTGATGCATGTCTTGTTAGCCTACAGACCTCCTCATACCTTCCACTCCAAAACCTTTCAGAGCCTTTTCTACTAGGATGTTCCTGATGCAAGACAAAGGGGAGGAGAATGCTTTTCCAACCCCTTTGTATTGTACATGATTACCTCAAAATTATTACTTTAGAGTGGCAGAACCACTTTCAACATAGCACGGGTTTTAAACATCAATCTGTTTTTGCTAATATCGACACAGCAAAAATATATATATATGTTTTAAATTATCCAGAATTTCCCTGAGGAATCAAGACTGAGAATGGTAAAGGAATTTTCACTTGAATTTTTTATTTCATTATCAGAATAAACTGTTCATGCAGTAATGTTATAGACAACAAAGTGAAAAGATAAGATATAAAAAAACTGTGTTAATCAGGATAGTACTCAAAATCAGAAGAGGCCTCAGCTTAATTGAGAACTGTAATGTATGTTTTGTTATATAAACCTATGTCCTAGCTATGTTAGTCCAAATGCATTGAACATGTTTTATTTGTTTAGTTGTAGTCTTGAAGGTTTTGGTCTTTTCAAAGCTGCCTGGAGCCATTCTGCATGCTCTTTTATTGTTTTTCTCCCAGTAAAATAATCCAAATGATAAAAGTCTTAACACTCTACACTGTAAGAAATCATCTTTTCCACTGAAATGCCTCAGTTTATAAAAGTGCAGAGACAACAAGGGAGAAGAAATATTGTATTCCAAATGAGGTGGCAAATAGGCACAAATCTGCATAATTGCTTTCAGAGGCCAAAATGCCAAGTTTTATTAACTTTAATGTAACTGAAGGCTGACAAGAAAAGAGGCAGTCATGTTCCCATTCCTAACAAAGGTAGCAACAGTGTGTGCTGGGAAAGAGGGAATATTACCTCATCTTTTGGTCGTGGCTCACAGTTAGATTGGATTAAGTGTAACATGAAGCTGCATCCAGAGGGCATCTACAAGAACTCCTACTGACACAGCAATTGTAGGAAAATAGCTGGCATTATTCATCACTTGCCCAGAGCTGTCTTTTTATAGGTATTCAATTATTCGAGGCTCATACATGTGAGCATTGTGTTCCATCTTTCTCCCCTCTCCACCCCCCACCTATATCTGCCTGTCATTCTGCTCATTCTCTTGGTTCAGCTGTTCACAGTCTGGTTCAGAGCCAGGTTGAAAAATATGGTTAATCAGGATATGATTTGCAATTGGCATGGATATTCTAACCCTCAAGCAGGAAGGTGTATTGGAGAAGGAAAGTATAGTGCAAGAGGTGATAATGAATTCAATTGCCCCATTTGAATCCACTTTCACATGAGCTGCTAATCAGAAGGCTCAGTTACCTTCAGAAGAAGTATGAAATTGAATTTTCAGCCTTATATCGCACCCTATTTTTAATAGCTTCTCTTTCCCTTGTTTAAAAACCTTTCTCCAAAATTTCATTTTTACCCTTATGATCACCACTAATCTATTTTTTTTTGCAATACTTTTCTGCAGTTAATCTCCTCTTCTAAATTGACTGAAACCTCCTAAACATGTTAAGTGCATTAAACAGATCTTTCTTTTTCTGAATGGGCTACATGCAAAGGAAGGGACTATAAACAAAGGAACAGCACTATCAAAACCACTTTCAGATGTTTTTTGATTTTTTGAAGAATTTAAGCTTTGGAATAGCTTCATTACATAGTTTCTGTTTAACTGTGTTATCAGGAGTCACTTTGAATTTGAAAAAGATCTTCACTGCTAACTCATGTATTGCACCTGCCTTAGCACTTTGAGCACGGGCTGGTATAACACATTTCTCCAGGCTTACTCTCTTTCAAGCTCAGCTATTTAGAGATTCAGTTTAAGACAAGATAATACTCCTCCATTGTTGCATGCACGTGGCATGCTGCCTTTATATAATAAAGAAAACACGGCACGCTCTCTTGAGATGGTAAACAAAGAGGTTTATTCAAACAATGCGCGCCTTTTTATACCTTGATCCCACGTGACTCTTAACCAATAGGAGTGTCTGGCTCTGCGCATGTCCCCTAGCTTCGGTGCCTACCTGTTGCACCTCGGGACATGTTCCCTACATCTCCCCCTTCCTAATTGTATAAGAAGGTCACGAGAACATTACAAAGGCAACAGCGCAAACAATCAGAACAGTACATT